CCACATTTGCTTATGGACACATTTGTCTTCAGCGAGACTTTAATTTTAAGGGAGGTAAGTGCACACTTCGGAATGCTGTGGAGGGACTTTAGGCAGCACATCCCTTTCAAACTCAGAGTCTGAAATTTTGAAATAAATGTTAGTAAAATGTCATCATCCCTGTTCATTTATATTAGATGTTGTGTGAGTAACAGTCAGATAAGAATACGTTTTCAGCATCCTAAAGTACACGAGATCACTTGTGCTGTCTATGGTTTCTTAAAGCCATTACAGTGAAAACAGCATCAATTTCTTCCTAAAGGAAATCAGGGAGAGCCTTCAGCAGCCTCGCATTTTCACCGTGTCGCCCCCTTCTTGTTTTCTTCCTGTAGCTGCGATGAAGGCTACACGGGATCACGATGCGAGAGAGTTGATGTGTTTTACCTAAAAGGAGATAGAGTGCAGATTCTGGTGATTTGTTTGATAGCAGTTATGGTCATTTTTACCATCCTGGTGGTTGGTGTCTGCACCTGCTGTCAGTAAGTATTTTTAAACTGAATTTTAATCAAATCTAGGAAATTGTATCTTGCTCATTGTTTTATTCTTTCCTTCCTCTCTGCCTTCCTTCCATGTCATTTTGATTTTAATAAATCCCCCCTTTGAGGCTCACCATCCTACCTATTGATGTCCCTTTTTATTTATAATAAACACGCAGTCTGTTGTGTTGAAGGATTTTATTCTATAACATTTTTATGATTTAAAACAAAAAATTGTATAAATTTCCTAGTTAAGGAAAAACAGTCCTGAAGTCAGTTGCACATTTATGTAGGCTTGTAAACAACACCAAGCCCACTGTCCTGCAGTAAGTTCTATGTCGTAGTAGCCCATTACAGGGCTTCTGAGGCTATAAGTCTCCCGGTGAACAGATAGTCCCATCTTTCTCCCGCCGAGAAGCTGCTGGGTTAGAACAGCTGGTGTGTTTGAACTGGTGACCTAGTGGTCCAATGTGTGTCCAAAAGTACCACGAGGTCTCCTTGTAGCCTAATGTGGTTTTTATCTGATTTTATTTAGTGTAGTTTTTTTTTAATGTAGGTTAAATAAGACTGGATAAAACTCACTTTTTATTTCCTTTAAATATACCATGACACAGACGGTCACTTTGAACGATAAAAAAATGTTTTCATCTCTAAAGATCAAAACCAAGTTTCTTGTTCCAGAAAAAACTCTTTCTGCTTAGCCACCTTAAAATCCAAAACTTTATCTTTGAAAAATGATAAAATTTCCTGCCTTTTATGTTTATTTATTCATGTACATCACTACTTTGGGAATCAAGAAATATCTCCCTTTCTTCTCTGAGCACAAAGTGGTCTTTAATGAATTTGGTTTCGTTTAGAAATCCTCTTAACTTTTTTTAAAAATCAAACCAGAATTACCACTTTGCATGCGAAAAAGGAATTTTCCTAAAGTGCTGTCTTCTTCTTTTTTATGATTTGAGGTTTAATTTATCTAGAGACACATTTCATATTTATTTATCTCTTTGTGGTGACTGTTTAAAGCATATGCAGGGTAGCACATACCAACTCAACAGTTTGACACACAGTTCCGTGGCGTTGATTCCCTCCTTCAAGGTGGGCAGTCATCCTCACCCTCATGCTCTGAGTTTACCTTCCCGTTAGCACAGTGCATGGACGTCTTTGTCAGAGGCTGCTCTAACAATGTGCTGCAGCATCAAGTCCCTGGCAGCATGTTTGGTATATTAGGTTCCTAGCCTTTCACCTGTCCTTCTGGGCAGAAGCTTCCCTTTCTTTACATCCTCCTTTGGAGAGTTTCAAAGCAAGAGTGAAACAGCATTGTACCTACGGAGTACCTGGTTTTTGCTCTTGCCCTACCATTGACATATTTTTGAGACTGTAAACAAATTTCTTATCATTTTTTAATTTCAATTTTATTTTTTCTGGCAAAAGAGAAATAAACAAGGCAATTGTTATGACTTGGTAGAGTTCTAAAATGGAAAGCTTTTTGTGATTTTGTCTTGTCAAGCTATGGTGCAATTTTTATGAAGTCGGGTTTGGAGCAGAGAGGTCAATTGTACTGGGCTAGAAATGGCTTATTTTATTGCTTTAAATTTGCCTTGTATTTTAAACAAGAAAACTGGGATGGGGCCCAGAATGTTTAACACTTTGACTAGTTGATAGATCTAGAAGCTTAGTTAGTACGTCCAGAAGCTACTTCCATTCTCTTGTGTCTGTTGACAGATGTGTGTAACAATAAATAATGCTTCTTCTATAAAATAATTTGGATTCCAAGATGTCTTTTGCTCCTCAAACTTCATAGCAATCAACTGCCATATTTTTCTATGCTGCTTTGCTGTTAGGTGCTAGCGAGTTGCTTCTGACTTAAGCAATTTCATGTAACAGAATACCCATCTTGGATGCCTTGACCTTGATCTTTGTGGAAGCAGGTCATTCTCTCAGAGGGGCATTGGGTAGACTCGAACCACTGTGCTTTGAATCAGAAGCTGGGTACTGAAATTTCACAACCACCAGAGCTTCTGCGTTTCTGTGTATATAACTATATTCTGTCATAATGTGGTCTACTCCACTCATCTGCTCCTGAAGATAAAAAGAGATTAACACCCACCTGACCTCCTACCTTGCTTGATTCATTGTGACCCTGTATGACAGATTGAGTTTTTGAGGGTATAAATCTTTTTGGGAGCAGAAAGCCTCATCATGCTCCCATGGATCCATTGGTGGAATTGAACTGCTAACCTTTTGGTAAGCAGCCGAATGTGTAACCCACTTTGCCACCAGGGTGCTAAGAGAAACACTAAAGAGAAACTAAACCACTTAAGCAAAAGGGAAGCATTGTTAACTGTTTAGAAAGAAGATCATAGATCATCTTGATTAATTTTGTGTTCCCAAGAATAAGAGACCCACCCTAATTTCTAACTCTTTATTTAAGTCCTCTTCGGAAACACCGTAAAAGAAAGAAGAATGAAGAAGAAATGGACGCTCTGGGTAAAGATGTAACTCCTATCAGTGAAGATATTCAAGAGACGAGTATTGTTTAACGGTAAGTGTGTTCAACTTAGCAGATGAGAAGCTATTCAAGTGACATTTTCTGGGTAAGATAGAATCTCACTGCATTTGATTGTGTTTAAAGACATCTAAGAATGAATTTAGAGTTTTTCACAGAACCTGAAGACAAATAAAGAAATAGGACATTATTTTTCCTACACGGTGCACAAAGATAGGCGTATGGGAAGAAGGCTTTTACACATTTTTTTCTAATGTACTTAGGTCATTTTTCATTTTCATTTTGCATGAATGTGATTGTTATTTTGTATTTTTCTTCATTTGGGGATACAAAGATGTACCATATATACTTGAGTATAAGTCAACCCGAATATACACCGAGGCAGCTAATTTTACCACAAAATGGCATTAAAAATGTGCTGAAAAACTTGGCTTATACTCGAGTATATACGGCATTTTAACTTATGCCTCTCATGTTGAAGGGAAATAACAATAGCTCACTGCCATGAAGTCGATGCCCGTTCACAGTCACCCTATAGGACAGAGTAGAAGGACTCCTGGGGGTTTCTAAGGCTGTAAATAAACCTCAGAAAGGGAGCACAAACCACTTCCTTTTCCCACAGAGCAGCTGATGACTTTGAACCACTCATCTTGTAGTTAGTCAACACTTACTCCACTGTGCCACTGGGACGGTTGAAGGTTTGAAACCACCTAGAAGTGCCTTCTCTCACCGCCTTGGAGTCAATGTCAACTTGGAGTGACTCTATAGAACAGAGTAGAACTGCCCATGTGAGTATCTAAGGCTGAAGCTCTTTTTGGGAGTAGAGAGCTCCATCTGTCTTCCGTGGAGCTGACTGGAAGTTTGAACTGCTGACCTTTCATGATTGCAACCCATTGTGCAACCATTATGCCACTAAGGTTCCTAGCAATTTGAAATCACCAGTTAGCAGCTCCTTGGAACAAAGACAGGACTTTCTACTCTTGTAAACAGTTAGTCTCAGAAACCCACAGGGGCAGTTTTACCCTGGCCTTCAAGGTGGCATGAGTCATCATTGATTTGATGGCAAGGAGTGAGAAGTACCTTGGAAGAAAGGTGTGGTGATATGCTTCTGAAAAATCACCCCATGAGAACCGTATATGGAGCACAGCCCTACTCTGACACGAATTGGGTAGCCAACAATCTGAATTGCGGGTACAGCAATTGCTTTTGGGTTTTTAATATTTATTGTATGTATACTATATGGAAGATACTTTTATGAACTCTTTAAATGTTATCAGTTAGGATTCCAGAAGGAATCACTGGTCTGCATAGATAATCCTCTAAAGATTTTGATGGCGAGGCTGTGAGGGCATGGTTAACGGGGGGCTCAGGAAATGTTGAAGTACACTGAGATTAAAGTATTGGGAAATGCCTCGCCTTCCTATGTCTGGAGAGGCAGGGACAGTATTACCTTGGCCCGAGGAGAAGACGTCTGAAGAAGGATCCTATAGTTTGGGGAGGAAGTAGTCAGAACCTGAATTAACAGTCTCTGGGTGGTACAAACTATTAAAGCACTTGACCACGAATTGACAGTGTGGCGGTTTATATCCACCCAGAGGTGCCTTGAAAGAAAGGCCTGGTGATCTGCTTTGGGGACGTCAGACATTAAAAGCCCTATAAGCATAGTTCTACTACAACACCCATGGAGTCACCATGAGTCAGACTTAATCTTGTTTTTTCAACAAGGAGAGGGGGAGAAATTAGGAGGGGAAAATCCCACAATCGTTCTCAGCAAAACCCAATTAAAAATAAAAATAAAAAACAGAGAGTATGGGTGTTGTGATGATATAATCTTTAGGGGTCACCTCCTGGAGCCTAGATCAGGGCAGAGAAAGTCTCCAAGAGAGCAGACGAAGAATCAAAAGCACAGTCAAGATAATTGTACGAGCCCCCAATAAAAAAAATGATAATGTTCTTGCTGCAGTACCATGAAACCTCTCTCAGACTGGTTAATTCCTCCCTCCCCCCAAATGGGGAAAAGGTCTGCTGGGCAGAGCTTTTATAGTTTGCATTTTTATTGCTAGGTGGGTATCCGGCAACTGGCTCTGAGTTAGTGCATCCAGTGGTGTCACCCGGAAAGCTTCTTTCTAGTCACAGTGAATTTTTTCATAAAAGCAGTTTTGTTCAAACCTTGTTTTTGTTTTTTTTTGTGCTGGCCAATTTAAGAGAACAGCGTGTGGCTGTGAAATTTTGTTTCCTGCTTGGGAAAAATGCTGCAGAATCTGCTGTGATGTTGAACACAGCTTACAAGGACAATGCTTTGGGACAACCTGAAGTGTATGAGCGGTTTTCTCATTTCCAAAAAGGTGAAATGTCACCTTTTGACATTTTTGAGGTTTGACTTTTTGGGGTTTGATGACAAACCTCATTCTGGATGTCCATCAAATTTCCGAAGGGACAAAAATGTCAACTCATAGTTCATTTGGAATTTGTTCCACCAGGTCAGACTGTTAATCAAGCTTTCCATTCAGAAGTTATGAAAAGATAGCTTAAGAGTGTGTGACAAAAACAGGTGTGATTTACAGCAGACAGGGGACTGTTTTTTTCCACCAAGACAATGCACCTGCTCATGCAGCCATCTCAGTGCACCTGTTTTTTGCAAAAACAGCATGCCTCTCTTGCCCCATGCACCTGACTCCCCTGACCTTGCTCCATGTGAGTTCTTTTTGTTTCTTCAAATGCAGAGGGACATGAAAGGACAGTGATTTGATGACATAGAAGCAGCAAGGAAACAAGCAAGGAAGGTGCTGTCAGCCATCCAAATAGATGAGTTTGAAAAATTTTTCCAAGAATGGAATTGCAGATTTGACAAATGTATTAAGTGTAATGGAGAGTACTTTGAAGGTGATAGGTTGTTTTATTAAAAAGCTTAAACCATATATACTCGAGTATAAGGCACCTGATTTTACCACAAAAACAGAATTTAAAATGTCCTGAAAAACTCAGCTTATACACGAGTATATACAGTACATAGCTTTGGAAAAAAACCCATTTTTTGTGTGTTTGGGGGTACCCTTTCGTATACTACGGGAATGTATTGGCTCCCATTAATTGGCAGTCCAGAAACAGCATGGGTGAAACTGGGGACTCCCAGTTGAGGCAATGGGCTGTTTCTTTATTTTTGCCACCTCTTCAAGGAGCTATCTTCATCCTTGGCCAGTTCCTCTCTAAACTCTAAGTAGCAATCTAGGCCACAGGCTTTCTTGTTTAATCCAGTTAAGAAAGTAGTGAGTTTCCATAGCTCTCCTAGCTTTGCAATGAATCTTTCCTGGAAACTTCCAGCAGCTTAGTGGAGTATAGTAAATGCTTGTTGAAAAATTATATTGTTCTCCTAACTTCTTATTAGGATAGCACTAATGAGGCGAACATAAAAATATTGAAGTGGGTCTTTTCCAAACACTGTGTGAAGCATCTCTCTTAAACCGTCTCTTCTTTGTTTCTTCATTTCCAGAGGCTTTGAAGGAACCTCGAGGAAGACGGGCAGCTGAAGAAAGACTTCGCTCACTTGAAAATGAGCTGAATGTGTCTCAGGAAAACCGCTAACAGAAATTAATTTTAAATTATATTTGTAGCTTTAGTTTGTGTTGTTACGACTATAATTATTATCATTGCTCTTACTGTTAGCATTATTTAGTAATCGAGGAAAAAAAGCACCTGGCAAGGTAGCAATAAGTTCTTAAGTTTCTTAAGAAGGGGAATTTATGAATTTCCAATTCAGTTCTCTCACCAAATTTACTCGTCAAACCAAAACTAAAGTAGGAAGGAGGTTCAGTTGAGTTGAGTTGATGGTAAAACTAGTACTTATGGAGTACTTACCATGGGCTAGGATCCTCTGAGAGCCTGCTACAAGGTTAACAGCTCAAACCCACCCAGAGGAAGAAAGACTGATGAAAGATGAGTCATGGACACACTACGAAGATCGGTGCTATTTTGGAACACATGGGTTACCCTGAGTCAGACTCTCTGAACAGCAACTAGTTTGCTTTATTTGGTTACCAAATTTATTTGCTAAGAATTTGGAATGTATTAATTTGGTATTGTGAACAACCTGTGAGATTTTTGATCAAATTAAGTCCCTCATTTCTCACATATGGAACATTAATAATCAAATTCAAATTTAGTGTTAGGAAATGGTAGAGGTAGAAATGGAGCCAAGATGTGCCCAAGCTGCGTGCTTAGCCATCACCATAATGAATGGAATTCGTGCCTCCTGGATCAACAATGTAACTTAATATTTTACACCGACCAGCGCGTTGCCATGCCATCTGACATGCTGGGCCATTGTCTTGCAGAAAACAAGGCAGGAGGCAGAGTCCTGGGCCATGCTTCTGTTACCATCATGCTTTCATTGGAGTTGACTTCTGTTTTGTTTCTTTGCTCCCATCTACATTATCAGGGACATGAAAAAATGTTTATGTTATCAATCCCAACAGATTTGCCCCACAGCTGTCACGGTTGTTAGGTGGGGTCCGGCAGATGTCACTCATAGTGGCCGTATGTAAAACAGAGTGAAACGCTGCTGGTCCTGTGCCATCTCCACCGTTATGGCCCTCCCTGCCTGCGCCCATCGGTACAGCCACTGGGGTAATTCGGCTTTCTGAGGGCCTCTCTTTTTTTATCCATTGACCCCATACTTTACCAAGCATGAGGCCCAGGGTGATGCAATAAAGCATGAGAAGCAAATGGTAGGAGGTTAAATTTCATATATATATATGTATATGTATGTATGTATATATGTATATATACATACATACATATACATATGTATATATACATACACACACACACACATATATATATAAAGGTTTCAGTTTTTCCCATTTGTGGGTTTATCCCAAACAAAATGTCTTTACACATATCTCTGTGACCAGCAGAAGGTTGCCAACATATTCTTTCAACAATACACTTGTATTAGTCTTGTTAGGGTGCCTTCGAATATAAGGTCCAATCAAGACAGTGCTTTCAAAGGGGAATCTACCGAGCCAGTTAAATCCAAGCATAGAATTCAGAAAGCTATGGTGAATTCTCATTTTTGGTCAATATCTCATAGAATGTGGAACTTTCTACATTGAATGGGTGAGGCATTTACAAAGCAAACAATGAAAGATACACTCACATTTCTGCAATTTACCTGTTGTGTCTATTAGCCCAGCGTTCCCCTGCAGAACCATTGTAAACACACTTCACTTTGCCAGTGTTGGCTCCCGAGTGAACGTGGAGAATGTAAACAAAGTCTGACGGTGTAGATCACCCTCTAGCACATGTGGTGCTTTGAGTGATGCCAGGGCTGTGTTTTTATACAACACATAAATAACTCTTATCCATATGAGCTAAGTCAAGCAACCTATAATCTTCTAAATATAATTTTCAAAATACTAATATCCATCATTGAAACAGGATTATATCCAACTGATTTATTATGTACATGTTTTATTTCAGATGTCTTCCTGTGGATCAATAATGTCCTTTATCTTTGTGTTCCTCAAACTTTAATTCTAAATGGCATTGGAACAAAGTTTTATTTAAAACACCGAACAATATTGTAAACTTGACTTCTTTCCCGGACCAAGGTTGGCTTCCCTGATGGATTCTCTTAAGCCAATTCCAACCTGGGACTTTGTTTTTACCTGAAAATGTTAATGATTTCATGAAATTTGGTAGATCAATGATAAGAATGAACCATAGAGAATTTAGTATCTTTTCATAATGTATTTTATAGTTTTATTTCATATACAAAGTAACCTTGTTTATGTAAACTGTCTGTTATCATGCAATAAAATAAATTTATTTTTTAAAACAAAGCAATTTTAAAAAATATTTGGCATTGTGTATTGGTACCACAAATTATTAATGGAACTAAGTTTGTGCCTTGTTGTCTTTTAAAACTTTTTACTTCTAAGATAGTCATCTAATGAAGTTAGGTCAATTGGAATCATTCCCAAGGGATTTTGGAACTAGAACTGTGACTCCTCTTTCTTTGAGGCCATGGCTTATAAAAATGTGCATTTAAAATCTATTGGAAGTCATGACTTACCCCATGTGAACCAGAATAGCTAAGGAAGGTGCTCAGTAGAAAGACAAAGAAAGAGCATAAAATAATAGAGATCAGATTTGAGTTTCCTGATAGAATATGCATCTTTCCTTGGTGGCATAGTAGTTGAAGGTTGGGCTGCTAACTGCAAGGTCAGTAGTTTGAAACCACCAGCCCCTCGGCTGGAGAAAGACTGGGCTTTCTCCTCCATCAAAGAGGAAGAGTCTCAGAGACTCACAGAGGGGTCGTTCTCTCCTGTCCTATAGGTTGCTATGAATCAGAATCGACTTGATGGCCCCACAAACTAACAGATTCTACACATGCGTTTGTAACCAAGATCTTGATCAACTCAGATGCATCCTATGATTGTGGGCAAGGATTTCTTAATGCAGAAATATGAAAAGTATGTTAAACTATTGCTTTTTAATTGTATCTTCAATTGTAGTAGAGGAACTTTTCTAACAAACTTTTCCACTTTCAGAATAAAGCACTGGGCCCATGATGATTTGAGGACAGTGCTGAGAGGATGCCGGGGTTCAGTGAACATTGATTAGATATCTGCTATATTCCAGGCACTGTACATCCTCTGTGTCAAATACCAAGGATTCAAAGAGGACTAAGACATGGTCTCTTGTGAAGTCTATAGTGTGTGAAAAAGTTCCAAGAACCAAACCAAACGTACTGCCATTGAGTCAACACCACTTCGTAGAGACACATGGATACTTCCAATCCAGTTTGGAGCTCAGAGATGCTCAAAGTGTTTATGGTTTGTCCTCACTTAGAAGAAACCACGCAAGACGAAGACCAGCAAACAAAACTGTTGCTGTGGATTTGACTCCATGTCATGGCAGCCCCATGTGTGTCGGGGTAGACTGGTACTTCATAAGGTTCTCAGTGGCTGATTCCTTAAAAGTAGATCATGAGGCCTTTCTTCCTGGGCAACTATGGATCGACTGGAACTTCCATCCACTCAGTAAGCAGACCAATGGGCTGATGACCAGCTCTGAGCAATACGGTCACTGCCCCGAATTCTGTGCAAGGACAGACATACTTAGGGTTTTTCCTTTTTCAAGTTCCAGCATCTAAAGGAACAGCAGTTGTTTCTATCAGAGGGCACAGAAAGAGAAGCTATGGAGAATTCTGTGCCTTATTTAAGAACTTGACCTGCCCCCATCGAGACAAAGTCAAGCATTTTTACCTGTGACCTGTGAGGTGAGCTGTTCCTTGTTCTACGAAGTTATGAAAACGGGTGGTGGCCTGGCATTGGGGAAGAGTTTATATTCCTTTCCCACAGGGGATGATTTAGGGCTTTCATGATTTCCATTCCATTGAGTTGCCCATAGTGTAGGTGAGTTACTCGGGTGCTGAGTGAAATGTTCTAGCTCTAAGGGTTTGTTATTTAGATAAGGCCCTGGTTTGTGCAAAATTGTATAAAGGAAGGAGAGGATACATTTCAATGACCATGGCTTTAAGACAAAGTTATGAATATAATGGTGCCTTCATTTAAACATATGCTAAATCTATTTGCTATGAAAGTGTAAACATAGTTTAACTTGGAGGCTCCCTGGTTAAAATTTTGACTACCGATGGAAAGGTTGGCAGTTCAGATCCACCAGCCACTCTATAGGAGAAAGTCTGTTTTCCTAAAGATTTATGCCATTTTTCCTGCCCTGCAGTGTCTCCACGTGTCAGCACTCCCTCAACAGAAAATTTCAAAATAGAAACCACACGTATTGGGGCATTGCTATCATTCATCCACTGAAAAATAGTCAGCCTCTACTGTGAGCCAAACGGAGCCCTGGTGGCATGGGGGTTACACGTTGGGCTACTAAGCAGAAGTTTAGCAGTTTGAAACCACCAGTCTCTTCAAGGGAGAAAGGCCGGGCATCTGCTCCAGGAAGGAGTTACAGCCTCAAACACGCACAGGGCAGTTCTACGCTGGCCCTGAAGGTATAGTGGTTACGTATTGGGGTGTGCTCTGCATGGTCAGCAGTTCACAACCAGCAGCAGCTCCGTGGGGAAGGACTGGGATTTCTACTCTCATAAGCAGCTACAGTCTCAGAAACCCACAGGGGTCGCTATGAGTCAGCATGGACTCAAGGACAGTGAGTTCTAGGGTACTTATGAGTTGGAATTGGCTGGATGGCAATTCGCTTTGGGGTTTTTTGGAGGGGAGGGTTGGTGTGCTCTCAGATGCTGGGGATACATCTGTGAATAAAAGAGTGAAAACAAAACAACAACAACAACAACAAAAACCTTTGACCTCATGGAACTTAAATTCTACTCCATATAGCATGGGATTTGAAACACGGTATCTACAAGGACATTCCAACTAGACTTTCACCCTATCCTGAAACAAAACCCAGGATAGGTACTCCTGAAAACACAAAACAACAACAACAACCTCAAAACAATATTCAGTTTGGGTTTAGTAGCTTTCCCTTTGCCCCCAAATAATTTACACATTTAAATAATGAATTTCCCAAGCAAAAAGACAGGGCAGTGTAGTAGCAGAGCTACTTTCCTTTTATGCTGGAAATCTTTGTTTATATAGTTTGCTATGGTTGATGAGCGTTGATGTTTCAGCGCAGTCCCTGTTCATCTTCAAAGCACTATTTCTGCAAAGGAGCTTGTCTTCATCCTTGGCAGTGGTCGTTACTGCTGGAACATAATGTACAAAGAGCCTGCTCTTGCCTCTTTGCTAACATAACTGGCTCCTAGGACTGTGGATCTTATTAGAACATTTACCTGGCACTTCCATGAACTCGTTCTTCCCCAAGACCTGTCAGTTATTCTCTGAGGACATAGTCTGAAACAGGATGGGGAGACTCCATAAACTAGGGAGCTACCGTGATTTTTCGGATGTAATATATGAAGGATGCTTCTGCTATTAGGAATTTCAGAAACAAGCAAATATCTAGTCAACAACTATGGTCAAGAGTTGCATTAAAATAAAATGCTAAAAACATCACATTTTTAAAAGACCCTTTTCTCTCTTATTGTCCTTATTCAAGTTTAAATGACCAAAAGGAAAAGACACAAATACCTTTTTTGTCTACTAAAAATAAGTCAAACAACAACCCCCCTACAAACATAGAACTCCTTAATGTTGCTTGCTACAACCAGTGTAATTATGCTTGCAAGATGCACCGAGAATAATAAAGTATTTTAATACCCTGTGATCCAAACTTGATAATGATCTGTAGTATGCAAGGCCTTATTAAAAAGTGTGAGAATTCTTATGTCTGCCTTGCTCTCGCAACCTGTTTTTGAAATGCTGCAATGTGTAAATTAACTGTGTTAGTCTGGGCAGACTAGAGAAATAAATCCATGGACACACATATGTGTATAAGAAAGATTTATATACAAGAACAATTGAACATTGAGAAAACATCCCAGGCCAATCCAGACCAAGTCAATAAGTCCGATCTTAGCCCATATGTCCAATACCAATTTATAAAGTCCTCTTCAGACTCACGAAACACATGCAATGATGCCGAATGTAGAAGATCACAGGGAAGTGGGTAGAAAGTTTTTGGATCCAATGTCATTGGAAAATCTCAGTGCTGGCAGGGCTCTGTCTCTGCATGGCTTCTCCAGCTTCAGAGGTCTGATTGCATCAAGGTAGGTCCACGTGGCTTCTCCCACTTAGGGC